AACATTGATTCCCCTCTATCTCTGCCCCCAAATTTCTCACCTTTAGTCCCAGGTGAGTGTGCTGGCAAAGCACTTGGTGAGGAGGCTTCTCCTGACCATGGCTTGTCTCCTGAAGGGACTTCATCCTTAGCTGTTTGTTGATTTCAGGGAAGCCAAGGTGTTAAATGTCTTAAAATTTCATCAAAATAGGATGGACAGGGACTTCCCTGGTGGTGCAGTGGTTAAGAATCTGCCTGCCAATGCCGGGGACATGGGTTTGAGCCCTGGTCTGGGAAGATCCCACATGCCACAGAGCGACTAAGCCCATGCGTCACAACTACTGAGCCTGTGCTCTAGAGCCCAAGAGCCACAACTACTGAGTCATCATGCCACAATTACTGAAGACCACGCACCTAGAGCCCATGCTCCGCAACAAGAGAAGCCACCACAATGAGAAGCCCGTGCACTGCAACGAAGAGTGGCCCCAGCTCTCCACAACTAGAGAAAGTCTGCACATAGCAATGAAGACCCAATGCAGCCAAAAATAAATAAATAAAATATATAAATTAAAAATAAAAACAGGATGGACAGCACAGTAGCCCTGCCCTGACAACTGCTCAATCTTTTTTTATCTCTTTGCCCTTCCTCAGCCTGCTTTCAGAAGTAGATACCTGCTCCTTATTTAATGCTATGGAATGTCTCTGAAAAAGTATCGGGGCCCCATCTTAAGGTTTCTGTAGAGAACCTGGGAGTGGGTGCTTGGAGCTTATTGGTTCACTCACTCGTATGTACCATGTCAAAAAAGGGGGCTTATTTATTATAGGACTAACAGCTTCTTACTTACAGAGCAAAGTGTTCCAGTACCAGAAACATTTTTCAGTGAGGAATTGCTGATAAGCGCAAAATTATTTTTATACTCTTAAAACAGTACTTGAGGAACATATTCATTGGCCCTAAGGGTGATCAGAGATTGCTTTGACAACTCGAATTGTGAAGCCCTCTTCCTGTGTGGTTCCTTTACTTCCCTTGATCATGACCCCAGTAAACTCTGTCAGCATCAGTACTTTAACAGGATGTTCCAGATCCCATCTTAGTTGCCACGACCAAGATTCTGAATTGGCCATCCTCTAGGAAGCCCATATTCCGTTTAGAAAAGGAGTATAAAGCAGCAGTTCCAAAACCTGGAACTTAGATGCTTAGTCAAGCCATCTCACAGAAATGCTGAATCTCAGCCTCCTGGGGTGGACCCCAAGATAACTATATTTTTACCAAGCTGCAGTTGGTTCTGATGCTCAGGCACATTTGGGAACCACTGATACAGATTCAGATTAGGCTATAAATCGCATATTTATGCCACTCCATATGACTAATTACAGTAAATAGGCCGATGCCAGAGACAGCACAAATTATTTCAGTGACAGACTGACTTTATGCTGATGTGTCTAATTTAATAATCATTGTGCTAAAGGTAATTTAACCGTTATCCTACTTGACTATAGGAATTTCTCAATCTGTTTATTTTTTTTATATATAATAGACTCATACCAGATTCCCCTTATCAAGTTGTATGTTCCCACAGTAAACCATGTTTAACGCTGTTTGAGGCTTTAGAAATAACATCATTAAAAAGCCGAGTTGTGGCTGCTTGTCCCCATAAGTTTTCATTTATGGTCATCACCCATCTCATCATGGGTGGTGTCAGAGAACCCTTTGTTAATATTTCCTTGGGCAGCCAATGTGCATTTTCAAGTCTCCTGAATTTTACCTCCTACTTTGATCAATTTATTGGTAGAAATTTCTGTATTCAGTAGGTTTAGCACACTAGTAAAATGCCACCTAAGATTTTGTTTCTTTTTTTAACTTTATGCAAACATCCCATAGAGCAGTAATTCTCCAACTTTGGTATACGTAATAATCACCTATAAGGGAAGGAGGAGCCTTTACAAATGCAAATCCTTGGTCCCCACACCTGTAGACTGATTAAGAAGACGTGGGTGAGGCCCAGGAATCTGCATTTTAACAAGTGCCCCCCCCCCCCGCAAGATAATTATGTACACTGAAGTTTTTGTGCACTAAATACTAAGGTATTATTTACACTGTAGTACTCACCTTGAGTAATTCTGATATAGGTGATCTGCAAACCACACTGTGAGAAAAAAGGATACTCACATAAGAAATGGGAAAGTGGAAAGTTTCACCTACCTCAAGACAAGATTTTAGACAATGCATAGGACATCATCACCCAGGAAAAGCAGCACTGTGGACCTACTTCCATGATTACTTACATTCTTGGCAGAATCTTGTACCACTGGACAAGTCATGGTATGAACCCAACTCTTCGTGAGGTTTTTTTCAGTCTCATTATGGGTCCAGGATGTTCCATAGATATAATTCTTTTCAACATTTTTTTATTGCTTCTTCATAAACAGAACCTTAAGGTGATTGCTTGTATATCTTGTAACATTAAAACACTTGACAGATAATATTTTCACTTAAGTTTCACTTAGGCTATTGGTATGGTTTATTTCTTATGTGTAACGTCATTATGAGTTTTAAAGTTCTAGGTGAACTTTCTTACCCCCACGATTGTCATATTTGTAATAGGTGTCTCTGCTGCATGTCTGTAACTTACAGTTTTGACCGTCCTTATTATCACATCGATTATAGAGGATTTCTCTTCCACGTAGATTCTACTAAAGGTGAATATTTCCTTTCTGACTGAAGTCCATATCACACTTGTTCATATCAATTTTTCTCTTGTGTGGATTCTCAGATGAATGTGAAGTGTTGAAGCCTGAGAGGAGCCTTACCACACTCATCACATTTATAGGGTCTCTCTCCCCGTGCGCTCTCTTACGAATGCCAAGTTTCACACTCAGAAAAATTCTTAGCACATGTACAACACTGATATATTCCTCTCCCGAATGGGAATGGGATGTATAATGGAGAGGAGTGGAGCACTTGGTGAAGCCCTTACTGTGCTCTTCATGTGGATCTGGTTTCTCTCCCATGTGGACTCTGATGACCTCTAAGATCAGCAGCTCTGTAATAACTCTCACCACCATTACCTCCTTTATAGGGTTTCTCTCCTGCATAGATGCTTCCATGATTGCAAATGTTTTTGTACTGGCTGATACCCTCAACCCACTTAGCACATTTGCAAGGCCCTTCTACTGTGTGAACTCCAAGATTGTTAGAAGTTTTTATTTTAGCTCATCTAAAAAGGGTGTGTGCTGGACTTCCCTGGTGGCACAGTGGTTGAGAACCCGCCTGCCAATGCAGGCGACACGGGTTTGAGCCCTGGTCTGGGAAGATCCCACATGCTGCGGAGCAACTAACCCCGTGCGCCACAACTATTGAGCCCACGCACCACAACTACTGAAGTCCCTGCGCCTAGAGCCTGTGCTCCACAAGAGAGGCCACCACAATGAGAAGCCCGCACACCACAACGTAGAGTAGCCCCCGTTTACTGCAACTAGAGAGAAGCCCATGTGCAGCAATGAAGACCCAATGCAGCCAAAAATAAATAAACAAATATGAATCTCATGCAAATAAATAAATAAAAAGGGTGTGTGGTAGGAAGCTTCTGATATGGCTCCCATGATATTCATGCCTCCAGGTAATCACAGCCTTGGATAATTCCTTCCTCTTGAGTTCAGGCTGGACTTAACAACTTGCTTCTAACAAATAGAATAAGAAAAACTAACAATATTAATCTCCCTTTCATTTTCTTAAACTGAAATGATATGGTAATGGTGATGGGGATGCTACTTCTGTGATCAGGTTATAAATGATTGTGACTCTGTCTTGCTGGTCATCTCTTTCTGGCTCTTCTTGCATGTTTGCCTGATGGAGAGAGCTACCTGGCAAGGGACTAAGGGCAGTTTGCAGCCAACAGCCAGTAAGGAACTGAGGCACAAAATCCAACAGCCTCAAGTAACTGAGTCCTGCTAATAACCATGCTTGGAAGTGGATCCTTCCCCTGTTGAACCTTCACTTGGGACTGCTGCCCCAGCCAACACCTTGACTGAAGCCTTGTGAGAGACTGAAACAGATGACCCAGTGTAGCTCTGCCTGGACCCCTGACCCAGAGAAACTGAGATAATAAATCTATGCTGTCTTAAGCCACTAAGTTTTGGGGTAATTTGTTACAGAGCAATAGATAAATAATACAGCGTGTAGTGATATCTCATTGTGGGTTTTATTTATTTATTTATTTTTGGCTGTGTCAGGTCTTAGTTGCAGCACACGGGATCTTTCGTTGCAGTGCGTGGGCTTCTCTCTAGTTGTGCCGCTTGGGCTCCAGAGCTTGCAGGCTCAGTAGTTGTGGCGCATGGGCTTAGTTGCCCTGCCGTATGTGGGATCTTAGTTCCCCAACCAGGGATTGAACCAGCGTCCCCTGCACTGGAAGGCGGATTCTTAACCACTGGACCACCAGGGAAGTCCCTCTCAGTTTGGCTTTAATTTGCATTTCCTTAATGACTAATAATGTCGAGCATCTCTTCAGGTGCTTATTTACCATCTGTGTACCTTCTCTGGTGGACTATCCATTCATATCTTTTTTTAAATCGGGTTGTTTGCTTTCTTATTGTTGAATTTTGAGAGATTTTTAAAAGATATATTCTGGCATACTCCTTTGTCATACAAGTGTTTTCTCCTAGTCTGTGGTTTGTCTTTTTATTCCCTTAACAGTGTCCTTCACAGAGCAAAAGTTTTAAATTCCAATGAAATCAATTTTTTTCTTTCATGGATTGTGCTTTTGCTATCTTATCTAAGAACTCTGCTTAACTAGAAGTCATGAACATTTTCTCTTATGTTTTCTTCTAAGAGTTTTATAATCTTATGTTTTACATTTAGATCTCTGATCCATTTTTTTGAAAAACAGCTTTATTAAGGTATAATTCACATACCATACAATTCACCCATTTAATGTGTAAATTAAATGTTTTTTAGTATATTCAGAGTTGTGCAACCATCACCACACCTAATTTTAGGACATTTTTATCCACACCCCCCCCCAAAAAAAACCCCACACCCATTAGCAATAAATCCCCTTTTCCACTTTCTACCTTTAGCCCTGAGCAACCATTAATTTACATTCCGTCTCTTCAATCTTGCTTATTTTAAGCATTTTATATAACTTGAATCATACAATATGTAATATTTTGTGACTCCTTTCACTCAGCATATTTTCAAGGTCCATCCATGTTGTAACATGCATCAGTACTTCTTTCTTATTATAGCTGAAAAATAGTCCACTATATGAATATACTGTATTTTATTTACCCATTCACCAGTTGATGGACATTTAACTGTTTCAGCTTTTTAGTTATTATGAACACTGTTGCTATGAACATTTGTGCACACATTTTTGTGTGGACAAATGTTTTCATTTCTCTTGGGTGTACCCAGGAGTAGAACTGCTGGGTCTTTTGGCAACTCTATGTTTAACATTTTGGGGAACTGCCGAATTGTTTTCAAAAGTGGTTGCACCATTTTACAATTCCATCAGTAATATATGACAGTTCCAACCATCCCTGCTTGTTACTGTCTTTTTGATTAGTGACATGCTAGTGAATGCGAAGTGGTATCTCACTGTGGTCTAGCTATGATCCATTTTGAGTTAATTATTAACAGTGTAAATTGTAAATCAAGGTTCATATTTCTGCATATAGACGTCCAGTTCTAGCACCATTCATTGAAGACTTTCCTTTCTCTACTGAATTGCTATTGCACCTTGGTCAAAAATCAGTTCATCATATTTGTGAGTCTATTTCTGGGATTTCTATTCTGTCTCATTATCCTATGTTATCCTTTTGCCCAGGTTACACTGCCTTGACTGCTGTAGATTTATAGTATGTCTTAAAATCAGGTATGAGTCCTCCAGACTTTGTTCTTCTTTTTCAAAATTGTCTTGGCTAGTCTAGTTCCTTTACCTTTCTATATAAATTTTTGTTTGGGATTGCATTAAATCTATAGGTCAATTTGGGCAGAACTGCCATCTTAACTATATTGAGTCTTCTAACCCATATGCATATGTCTCTTCACTTTAGTTCTTTTTTCACCTCTTTCCTTAGCACATAAAACCTCACATAATTTGTTATATTTATACTTAAGCATTTCTTTCTCCTTTGGAACTAATACAAATGGTACTGTTTTTTAAATTTGTGTTTCTAGTTGTTCATTGCTAATATATAGAAATACAACGGATTTTTGTATATTGATCTTGTATCCTGCAACCTTGCTAAACTTTTTAGTTCTAAGAGCTTTTTAATAGATTCTTTGGGATATTTTACATAGACAATCATATCATCTGTGAATAGTTTTATTTCTTCCTTTTCAACTAGAATGCCTTTAGTTTTCTCCAGACTTACTGCATTTGCTAAGACTTCCACAGCAATATTCAATAGGAGTAATGACAGTAGACATTCTTGCATTAATTTCCAGTCTTAGGAGGAGAACATTCCATCTTTCACCATTAAGTATGATGTTAGCTGTAGTTTTATTGCAGATGACCTTTACCAGACTGAAGAATTTCCCTTCTATTCCTAGTTTGCTGAATTTTAATTATGAATGAATGTTAATATTTTTAAACTGCTTTTTCTGGACCTATTTATATGATCATGTAGTTTTTCTTAAATCTGTTAATGTGGAGAATTACATTGATTTTCAAGTGTTGAATCAGTCTTGTATTCCTGGAATGAACACCATTTGGTTATCTTTTTTATATATTGCTGAATTTCACTTGCTAATATTTTGTTGAGGAATTTTTGCTTCTATATACGGAGGGCAGGGATATTGGTTTGTAGTTTTCTTGGATCTTTGTCTTGTTTCGATATGAGTTACTGCTGGCTTTATTAAAATGAGCTAGGAAGTATTACCTCTTTATCTTCTGGAAGAGATTGTGAAAAATTGTTGTTGTTTCTTCCTTAAATGTTTAGTAGAATTCACCAGTGAAATCATCTGGACCTAGAATTTTCTTTTTTGGAAGCCATGAATTAGATTTCTTTAATAGGTATAGGACTATCCACTTTACTTCTCCTTGAATGAGTTTTGGTAATTTGTGCCTTTCAAGAAATTGGTCCATTTCATTTAAGTTGCTGCATATATGTGCACAGAGTTGTTCATGGTATTTCCTTATTATACTTTTAATATTTGTAGGGAGACTAGTGATGTCCCCTCTTTCATTCTTTATGTCAGGACTTTGTGTCTTCCCTCTTTTTATCTTGGTCAGTCTGGCTAGGTATTTATCAACTTTACTGATTTTTTTTTTTTTTAAGAATCAGCTTTTGGTTTCATTGATTTTCTCTATTTTTGATTTTATTAATTTCTGCTCTTATCTTTATTATCCCATTCTGCTTGCTTTGAGCTTATTTTGCTCTTCTTTCTCTAGGTTATTTAGTGAATTACCCACTTTGGAGACTCCAGAACCATAGTAACAAATCCTGATTAAAATAGGCCAAAAAAAAAAAGGAAATCAGACAAATCTATAGATGCAAAAATTACATAGAAAACATTTTATTACGATAATTAATCATAAAATAATTAATAGAGAAACCAATATTATGATATCAATAAATGCCAAAACGACATTGGATCTCATTCAGCATTATTTTAAACATAGGTAGAATGTTCAAATCAAAACTACATTAAGGGGCTTCCCTGGTTGTGCAGTGGTTAAGAATCCACCTGTCAATGCAGGGAACATGGGTTCAAGCCCTGGTCTGAGAAGATCCCACATGCCGCGGAACAACTAAGCACATGTCCACAACTACTGAGCCCGCGTGCCCCAGCTACTGAAGCCTGCGCACCTAGAGCCCGGCTCTGCAACAAGAGAAGCCACCACAATAAGAAGCCTGTGCACCGCAATGAAGAGTAGCCTCCACTCGTTGCAACTAGAGAAAGCCCACATGCAGCAACGAAGACCCAATGCAGCCAAAAATAAATAAATAAATAAATAAAATTTTTAAAAAACTACATTAATACAAAAAGAAAAAAAGTACAGAAAATCCTCACCCTCACTCCTGTCCCCCTAATTATTTTATTAGCCCCTTGTTTATCCTTCCAGTGTGACATTATGCAAATATAAGCAAATATGGATATATATTCTCATTCTCCTCCTTACATAAAATTCATTATATATTTCTATAAAATATATATTTATATACACATACACACATTGTTATTCACCTTGCATTTTTCATTTAATAATATATCTTGGAGGTATTTCCATTTCAACAAGGAAATTTTCCTTATTTTTTATTACAGCTGCATACCATTCCACTGTGTGGATATAGTTTATTAAACCAGTTCTCTGTTGGTGGACATTTGTGTTGTTTTCTATTTTTTACTATTGGAAACGATGCCAGATATTTGCAAAGCACATGTACAAGTGTATCTGTGGGACAGAGTCTCAGAAATAGAATATCTGGATCAAAAGGCAAATGTATCTACAGTGTCGGTAGATATTGTCAAATTCTTCTCCATAGGAGTTGTTCTATTTTGCAAGCCCCACGGCAATGTATGAAAATGCCTACTTCTGTATGCCTCATTAACAAGTTTTTTTTTTTTAATTTTCAATTTTTTGCTAATCCCATAGGTGAGAAATGGTATCTCAGCATGGTTTTGATATGCATTTCTCATATTATGAGAAAAGTCTGTCATCCTTCCATACATTTAAGGGTCACTTGTATTATGTCTGAACAGTCTCTTCACATTTTTTTGTGTGCTTTTTCTTCTTAATTAATTTATTTTTGGCTGCATTGGGTCTTTGTTGCTGCGTGCGGGCTTTCTCTAGTTGTGGCGAATGGGGACTACTCTTCGTTGCGGTGTGCGGGCTTCTCATTGTGGTGGCTTCTCTTGTGGCGGAGCACAGGCTCTAGGTACATGGGCTTCAGTAGTTGTGGCCTGCAGGCTCTAGAGCGCAGGATCAGTAGTTGTGGCGCACGGGCTTAGTTGCTCCGCGGCATGTGGGATCTTCCTGGACCAGGGCTCAAACCCGTGTCCCCTGCATTGGCAGGCGGATTCTTAACCACTGCACCACCAGGGAAGTCCCTGTGCTTTTTCTTCTTGATTTCTAAGAGCTCTTGATAAATAGGCAGATGAATCTCTTTGTCTGTGATATGGATTGGAAATATTTTCACCATTTGTAATCTTTTATACAGTTTGTATTCTTCCTCAGGGAACTGGTGAGGAAAAGCCTTCCTTTCCTAAAGCCCTCCCTCAGTGTCTCTTTCCCACTCAGTACTCACTCATTCATTCATTCATTCATGGGGATTCAACAGAATGGATGAAGGCAGAGCCTGGGGGGATAAAAGAACCATTTCATGATCTTATATACCCCACTGAGTTGACACTCCATGATTAAACCAGTTACACTTACTTTTGTTTCATAATGTTTTCATATTTTACAATAGGCATGTATCATTTTGTTATTAGAAGAGTTAATGCTGTTGTCAACAGGGATTGGGAAGTATTAGACTGCTTGCAAAATCCTGAAAAACATAAAATAGAAAATAAAAATCATCCATTGACACTATTAATATATTAGTATACTTCTTTCCGGTTTTTTCCTCTATGTATGTGTCTTTATATCTGCTATATTATGCAAATTTTCCTAAGTCATTAAAAATGATTCAAAAACATCACTTTTTTTGTTGGAGAATACTGCATCATAGAGATATACTATGATACAGTATGACATCCTCTGGATTGTGAAGTAATCCTTTCCTTCTTTTAAAAAATGTAGGGCTTCCCTGGTGGCGCAGTGGTTGAGAGTCCGCCTGCTGATGCAGGGGACACAGGTTTGTGCCCCGGTCCGGGAAGATCCCACATGTCGCGGAGCGGCTGGGCCCGTGAGCCATGGCCACTGAGCCTGCGCGTCCGGAGCCTGTGCTCCACAATGGGAGAGGCCACAACAGTGAGAGGCCCGTGTACCACAAAAAAAAAAAAAAAAAAAATGTAGAAATAACACATGGTAATGTATACTTTTTACACATAATTTATTTGATTATTCCCTTAACATAGATTCTTAGATGTAAAATTTCTCAGTCAATTGGCATAAACATTTTAAAGCCTTTTGATACATACTGCCAAATTGCATACTGCAAGGGATGCTGCCAAAGTATTCAAGGGAAATTTAATTTCTAATAAATGCACTGAAATGCATTTATTAGAAAACAAGAAAGGCTAAAAATAAACTCTAACCATATAACTCAAGATGCTAGAAAAAAAAAAAGATACACCCAATAGAAGTAGAAGGATATAATAAAGAATGAAAAATTAGCAAAAGAGAAAATAGCATGTAAAAGCTATTTTACATGCTACTGTCTTGATTAGGGAAAATACAAGTAAACCCACTCCTATATACATTTAGTAAAATGGCAGAACATGCTTCTGCTTTTCAGGATTTTGCAAATCCTAATTTTAAAACTAACCAGAGAGAAAAGTCAGGCTGTCTCAAAAGAGACAATAATTAGACTAATAACAGACTTTTAATAGCAGCACTAGAGGTTAAGGAATTACTGAGAAAAATTAAATTCCAATTTAGAATTCTATATCCAGCTATGCTATAATTCACAAGTAAGGGAGAAATAAAGAATTTACTACTCTCAGACATACTTGCTGAAAAACTACTGAAGGACTCATTTATTTTATTTACAAAAGAAATACTTTTACAAGACTTAGTATGTGCCTGGCACTGTTTTAATCATTCTACAAATACTAATTCATTTGATCCTAATAACAACCCCATGAAGTAAATAATACTATCATCTCTCTTTTACAGATGGAGAAATTGAAGCACGAAGAAATTAAGTACTCTGCCCAGGGTCACACAGCTAGAGATCTACAGAGCCAGATATCAAACCCAGGCAGGCTGACTGCAGAGCTGGTGCTTTTAACCACGAAACAAGCTGCAACTGCTCTGGGAGGCTGAGGAAATGGAACTCAGAAGGAAGGAGGAAATGCAAGAACCAGTGGTAAGAAACTGGTAAATGTTCCAGTTAATCGAAACTTGTGTTGGCTATTTACAACATATAATAATAGTGATAAATCTGGGGTGTGTTAAAAACATGATGAGGGCTTCCCTGGTGGCGCAGTGGTTGAGAGTCCGCCTGCCAATGCAGGGGACACGGGTTCGTACCCCGGTCCGGGAAGATCCCACATGCCGCAGAGCGGCTGGGCCCGTGAGCCATGGCCGCTGAGCCTGTGCGTCCGGAGCCTGTGCTCCACAACAGGAGAGGCCACAACAGTGAGAGGCCTGCATACCGCAAAAAAAAAAACCAAAAAAAAAAACCAACAAAAAGAACCATGATGAAGTTAAAACCATGTATTGATACAAAAATAACATGTAACATGAGAGGAGTAGAGTTAGTGTTCTGTTCTATCTTGTTAAGGAGGGGCTTAATTTAACAGTTATGCAAGTTAACATAAAACAAAAGGAGATAAAATGTAAATACTAATCTTGTAGAGGTAAATAAAGGGAGAAGAAAGAAAACATAATCCAATGGAAAGAACAAAATGAGAGAAAATGAAACAAAACTCCCAAAATCCTAATCCAACAGATTTTTTCAAAAATTTTAGCAAGCTGATCCTACAATTTATATGAAAAAATAAAGGGTTTTAAATAGCTAAGACAATTACTATAAAGCTATATTACTCAAAAATGTGTTACTGGCACAGGGATATACAAATAATCTATTGAAAAGAATACCTGTCTGATAGCTTAGAACATAATAGAAGTTAAAATCCATGACTTTGCTCTAAAACATTAGCATAAAAAAATATCAGGGCTTCCCCGGTGGCGCAGTGGTTGAGAGTCCGCCTGCCGATGCAGGGGATGGGGGTTCGTGCCCCAGTCCGGGAGGATTCCACATGCCGCAGAGCGGCTGGGCCCGTGAGCCATGGCCGCTGCTGAGCCTGCATGTCCAGAGCCTGTGCTCCGCAACAGCAGAGGCCACAACAATGAGAGGCGCGTGTACCACAAAAAAAAAAAAAAAAAAAAATCAAAACTGTAATGTTTGGTGAATCAAGCAAATTGCAAAAAGATAATATAAAAGATGATGATATCTATGTAAAAATTTAAGATACCATGGACATACAGGTAATAAAAAAAACAAAAACATACAGAGGAACAACACATAGTAACTAAAGCATAATGGTTACCTCTGAGCAGAGTTGAGAGAATAGAGCATGAGGCTTTAGTTGTATCTGTTGCTTTTTTTTTTTCCATACCAAAAAAAAAAAAAAAAACCTGAAGCTCTTATGGCAAAAAATTTAACATCTACTTAATGTCAGTTGAGAAAATAGCTGTTACATTTTCTGAACTTTTCTGTATATCTGAAATATTTTGTACTTAAAATATTTTTTAAATCTAAAAACAGAGAGAACGAAAATAAAAGGGAAGAGACAGAGAGGAAAAAGAAAGAGGAAGAAGGAAAAGACACTAATATAAAACCTCCGTGTTGTGAGAATTTTATTAATATAACCTTCATTCAGTGGTATTTGGGTGCCATCACAGTCCTCAGGGATACCATCCCCTTTCCCAACTTAGGCCAGTGGTCCCTGGACAGCTCAACTGGCAGTCCTCCTAAAGAGCCCCAAAGCCTTTCTAACCCCCAAATGGCTGTTTAGTGGGGATGCAGAAAAATACATTGCTCTTAGGTGAAGGACTCAGTGGAAATGTTGACCAACTTTCTCTGTTCCCTACCCAGATTTAGAGATGACACTGGGTCACTGACCTTTTCATAACCTCCACTGGTCCAGGTCTTCCCTTTTCATTGCCAGACCCCCAGGCTGTTCTCTAGTTAATTTATGCCTCCTGAAGGGGGTCAAGCTTATTATTGCCTGCATATATGATTCTTCCTTCTATTGGAGGGATAATGGTCCCGCCTGACTTGGGCCACGTGGGGAAATGATGGGGCATAGAGTTGCCTTCCAAGGGCCCTCACAGCAGCTCTTCCACCTCTGGCCCCAACTGGCCCTGATGCCACTGGGGTCCATCTCTACCCACTACAGACCACACTCTGGTTAGCATAGATCTCCAAGGAGAGCCCTGTACTGGAGGTTGAGACACTTGCTGGAGACTTAGGAGAAGCCTTGGGGCTTCCCACCCCTATGACCCCTCCCAACTACCTCCCAGGCACTGTTCTTTTCCTTTTTCTTCTAAGCATTCCCTACCATTTCAGACTTGCTTTCCTCTCCTCTAACTCCCCTCTGTAAACCCTGACCCAGCCCCCTTTTTTTTTAGCTATCTCTTCTATAGACATTTACCCTGAACATGCCTCACCTGGGAATTTCTACAATCCATGGTGCAAAGCTCCCAGCAGCCTGATGACATGATGGGCAGGCAGACACTCAATCAGGGCCAGGAGGCTTCCAGCCTAGAAGGGCACTTTGCCAGGTAAGGGGCATCTCTCCCAAAAGGAAGACCTTGTTAATCCTTGGCCCTGGATAACTCATTGGTTATGTCTAACATAAACCTCTTTGAGAAGAAATATAAAACAAAAGAAGAGCTACTGCTACCAGATTCTGGTGGAGTCCACCTTATGCGGAGGTGGTCAGTCCAGAGCCTGACACATAACTTCATTAGGGTATACACAGGATTTTTTTTCCCGAATAGATACACATTTTAATGTATGAGTTTTGACTAAAGTATTTTCACAGCTGATACAGTTTTGGAGGTGTGGATTCTTATGCTGAAGACATGTATTTTTAAATTTACTACACCGATTTAATAATTTGATCATTTATCTCTAAGTCCATTAGTATATTCATCAGGTTCACAGGACTTCTCTCCTGCAGGGACTAACTCAGGACAAAACCCATGATCTGACTGCGAACACACTTTCTAAAAAGGCTTCAACATGTTGACCTTGAAGTCCTTACCCCACTATCACACAAACAGGGGTTCTCTCCCACATGCATTCTCATTCAACAAATATTTACTAGGTGGCTACTCCTGCCAGGCACTGTGCCAGGAGCTGGGGACACAATGGCGAGCAAAGCACACGCAGCTGCCCTCTCTTGGAGCTGCCAGAATCGTGGTAGAAACAGGCTCTCTGGGGAAGGGGGAGATATGCACACACCTACACCTGCATGGTTTTCTCCCATGTGGAGTCAGATGGATGTGAAGGCCTGACTCGCTTCTCACGCACACAGGGTCTCTACCACGCATGGGCTCTGATGTGCATGAAGGTTTGTGCTGTAACGGAAGCCCCAACCACAGACACTGAAATCAATGGTTTCTCCCCTGCGTAGACGCTCTGCAGAGAAGCTCTGTGTTCTTAAGAAACCCTTTACCACACTTGCACATTTGTAACATTGCTCTCCTGTGGGGACTTATGGAACTCAAGGTTAGTGCTCTTTCCAAAGCCCTTACTACACTTAGCACATATAAATGGGTTTTCTCCTGTATTAATTCTTAGATAAACTCGAAGATCTAAGCTCTAACTGAAGAAACCCTTATCACACACCCATCACATCTGCAGTTTCATTCTCTGGAGAACGTGAAGATTCACTGTGATCGAAATCCTTCCCACACTCCTCACACCTACAGGTTTCTCTCCTGTGTGGACTTTCTGATGAGCACGAGCTTGTACTTTAAGGGTTTCACACTGAAATGGTTTCTCTTGTGTGGACCCTCTGATGCTCTTGGAGGTCTAGGTTCTGTCTGAAGCTCTCACAACACTCCTCACATTTGTACGGTTTTGCTCCAGTGTGGACTCTCCAGTGGATGCGAGGGTTGGGGCTCTAATGGAAGCCCTTGCCACACTCCTCGCACTTAAAAGGTTTCTCTCCTGTGTGGACCCTCTGATGCACGTGAAGATTCCTGTTATAACTGAAGGCTTTGCCACATGTATCGCACACGAAAGGTTTCTTTCTCGTGTGGACTCTCTGGTGGATGCGAAGGTCTGTGCTCTGACTGAAGCTCTTGCCACACTCGGCACAGTTATAAAGTTTCTTACCTGTGTGGGAAAGGGGATGCTTTAAGAATGAGAAAATGTTTACAATGATGAAAAAATATGACCGTCAAGTTAGAAGACCTCAATGGAGGTTGTAAGCAATAGAATATCAGACTGGAGAATGTAAGAAACTATGTTAGTGGATTAAAAGATCAACTTGAAGATGGGACTTCCTGGTGGCGCACTGGTTAAGAATCCGCCTGCCAATGCAGGGGACACGGGTTTGAGCCCTGGTCTGGGAAGATCCCACATGCTGCAGAGCAACTAAGCCGGTACACCACAACTACTGATCCTGCGCTCTAGAGCCCGCAAGCCACAACTACTGAGCCCACGCTGCACAACTACTGAGCCCGCATGCTGCAACTACTGAAACCCGCAAATCTAGAGTCCATGCTCTGCAACAAGAGAAGCCACTGCAATGAGAAGCCTACACTGCAAGAAAGAGTAGCCCTTGCTCGCCACAACTAGAGAATGTCTGTGCGCAGCAACGAAGATCCAACGCAGCCAAAACTAAATAAAATTTTAATAAATAAATAAATAAAAGTTCTTTAAAAAGAAAAAGATCAACTTGAAGAGTTCTACTAGGACTCAGAGGAAAGGATTTTAAAAGTGGAATTATGATCTTGAAGCTCCTATATATTATATGTATAAGAGATTCAGAAGGAGAGAAGAAAGAATATGAAATAATAATAATAATAAATAATGAGAATGTACTTAGTCTGAAAGAGAACTTGATTCTCTTAGATTGAAACTATTTTCCCAGGACCAATTAGGAGTGCTAAAAAAAAAAAAAAAGACAAACTAACATATACACCTACCAGGATGAAATTTATGAACTTCAAGGATCAAGAAAACATAAGCATACAAAACATTAAAAAAGCAAAACAGGGCTTCCCTGGTGGCGCAGTGGTTGAGAGTCCGCCTGCTGCTGCAGGGGACATGGGTTCGTGCCCCGGTCTGGGAGGATCCCACATGCCACGGAGCGGCTGGGCCCGTGAGCCATGGCCGCTGAGCCTGTGCGTCCGGAGCCTGTGCTCTGCAACGGGAGAGGCCACAACAGTGAGAGGCCCGCGTACCACAAAAAAAAAAAAAAAAAGCAAAACAAGTTACTCCCTTGAAAAGAGACTAAGACTGACCAAAGACAATAGTACAATATTTTCAGAGTCTTGAGGGAAAAAAGACTATCAGCAAGCAAGCTAAACCTAAACCAATGATTCCAAGGACAAAAGGAAGGAAAAACAAGGGGGGACAAAGATGTCCAAAATTTGTCAAAATAAAAACTCATGGGGCTTCCCTGGTGGCGCAGTGGTTGGGAGTCTGCCTGCCGATGCAGGGGACACGGGTTCGAACCCTGGTCTGGGAGGATCCCACATGCCGCGGAGCAACTGGGCCCGTGAGCCACAACTACTGAGCCTGCGTGTCTGGAGCCTGTGCCCCGCAACAAGAGAAACCGCGACAGTGAAAGGCCCGCGCACCGCGATGAAGAGTGGCCCCCGCTTGCCGCAACTAGAGAAAGCCCTCGCACAGAAACGAAGACCCAACACAGCCAAAAATAAAAATAAATAAATAAAAATTAAGAAAAAAACAAACTCGTGAAAAGGGAGGACATGGAATATAAAAAGTAGAAATGAATAAATTAAAGCTTTTCCTCTTTTTCCCTCAACAAAATCTCATGAAATATCAAGGGAAAACTCCCCATGAGCTGAAGGCTTCAGAGATGAATGGGCTCAATGACAGGCAAATATAATTACGGGGTGGGGGGGTGGTGGGGAGGACTGCCTAGCTAGGCACATCCTGGTAAAATTCCTAAATTCCAAAGAAGGGAGGGACAAGAAAAACAGGTTAAACAAACAAAAATAAGATAAAATAAGACAGAGAAAATTACTAAACGAATGAATCAGATCAGAATCAGCAGTATCCGAGGCTTAAAAACAAAGATACAATGGCTAGAACATTCTCAGGGAAAATGATTTTGAATCTAAAGGTCTCCACTCAGTGAAACTACTATGCAAGGGACTTCCCTGGTGGTGTAGTGGTTAAGAATTCGCCTGCCAAGGCAGGGGACACAGCCTCAAGCCCTGGTCCGGGAAGATCCCAAATGCCGCGGAGCAACTAAGCCCGTGCGCCACAACTACTGAGCCTGCGCTCTAGAGCCCGTGAGCCACAAATACTGAGCCCGCATGCCACAACTACTGAAGCCCGCATGCCTAGAGCCTGTGCTCTGCAACAAGAGAAGCCACGACAATGAGAAGGCCGTGCACTGCAACAAAGAGTAGCCCCCGCTCACTACAGAAAGCCCACATGTAGCAACAAAGACCCAACTCAGCCAAAAATAAATAAATTTAAAAAAATTAATTTCAGTATATCAATACATCATACAATGGAATATGATATAGCCAGTTAAAAGACTGAGCTAGGTCTAAATATTTTGACATGTAAAGATATCTAACATATGTTACTAACTAAAAGGAAAGTTGCAGAACTAATTTTTATAACATAAACAGATAAATACACAAATATGTATCTGTGAGCTTATATATTTTCTGTCTGCTTATACGTAATATAAATAGAAAATAGTCTGAAAGATACTTTTTACTTTATATGCAGTATATTTTGTTTTAATACCTTTCTAATTAAATAAGTAATTACAGGGAGGGGCGCATGGGGAGTGACTGCTTAATGGGTATGGGGTTTTCTTTTAGGGTGATGAAAATGTTCTGGAACTTGATAGAGGAGTTAGTTACACAACATTGTGATGTACTAAATGCCACTGAATTGTACACTTTCAAATGGTTAATTTTATGTGAACTTCACCTCAAAAAAAAAAAAGAAATATAAATGGCGGAGGGGGAACTCAAGTTTTTACTTAGTAGCAATATTTTTCTTTCTTCAATAGTGATTTGGACACTCTGATATTTGAATCTCAAGCCCTCACCTAGTTAAACACTTTAAGAGCTCACAGCTTTAAACAACCAAGGGAACAAAAATTCTCCAAAGAGCAGTTGTCCTCACCCACTAAGACCAGGTTGCCATAGATCTCCAGCATCACCTCTTTGTACAGGGCCCTCTGTGCGGGGTCCAGCTGCCCCCACTCCTCCTCGGTGAAGTCCACGGCCACATCCTTGAACGTAACATGTTCCTAAGACACCAATGAACAGTAATTCCTCTTCAGTGAGCAAACATCTACACCAGCTTCCGTGGTACAAAGGGTACAAACTTGGCAACACTGAGAAAGGTAGACAGTATAAAGGGGACTTCAGAATTTTGTCCTAAGCTGTAAGAATAATTTAAAGAACAATAAAAAATTTTTAAAGATATGTATATCTTTTGCAGAGGCTCACCAACCCTAATAATATGAGGAGCTCTTAAAAATCAATTAAAAAAAATAAAATGCTCCCGGTAAAAATGGACAAATGGTAAATAATCTGAGTAATTTCAAGAAGAAAAGAAAATTACCAATAAACACATGAAAAGACATGCTGCCTCACAAATTATCAAAGAAATGGATATTCAGATAACGAGGCATTATTTTCCCCTATCCTTGGGGCAAAGATTAAGACTTATAATACCCACTACCAGTGACAGTATGAGAACTCACATACCCCCATATACTGTTGGAAGGAGTATAAATTGGTATAAACTTTTTTGGAGAACAATTTGGCAGTATTTATCAAACATATGTTTTGATCCAGCATTTCCAATTCTAGAAATTCATCCTCATAAGATAACTAATGACTTCCCTGCTGATAAACCCAATGGAAAGTTTTCAATCCTTTTTATGCTTGACTCCTTGGCATTATTTGGCCCTGTTGACCACATGGTGTTCCTCAAAACTCCTCCGAGAGTCTGGATATCATAGTATCCTAACTCTCCTAACACTCTGGTCAATCTTTCTCAATCTCCTTCTCTCCTGGTCAATGTGCGGGTTTCCTGGGTTGGATCCTAGGCCTTCTTCTCACTCTCCCTATGTGATCTCATATATTCTGATAGCTTGAAACGCCAACTGAATGCTGACAACTCTCAAATGTACTTTGGCAGCCAAGACCTCAAGCTATACCTAGAGTTCCAGACCCAAATATCTCCCTGGTGAACATCCAGTGTGAAGCATAGTGCCTGATCTACAGTAGGTAATCAATCAGTTTCTACCAAGTGAAAGAAATATCTATTTGGATGTCTCAAAGACATCTAAATCAACATGCTCAGTTCTGACTTTATCTTCCTTTCCAAAACTGCTTCTCTCCCAGTGCTCTCTAACTCAGGAAACCCCACCTCCAACCACCCAGATGTTTAGGTCAGAAAAAAAGAGGTCATCCTTGACTTCCTCTCTCCCATCCCTCACATGATCCGTCACTAAATCTTTTAAAATCTCTCTTTTACCTCCACTGCCCCCACTTTATTCTGAGCCACCATGACCTCACCTCTGCCTCCTAATTGGTCTATACCATCCTGCCTTCCTGCAACATAATCTCTACTCTGGCTCCTCTTTTTGTGCCCATTCCTTAAATATTAATATTTGTGTTCCTCAAGATTCTTCTCTGGTTATCTTCGTTTTCTTCTCTTCTCACGTATCAGCTGGATGACCTCAACCAAGCCCATGACTTTAATGACCATATACATGGTGACAACTCATAAATTTGTATCTTTCACCTGGGTCTGTCTCAGACCTTGATATCTATCTACCTTCTAGACTTCTTTAATTGGATGTCCGACAGGTGCTTCAAACTGTCTTCTAACTCCCCTCTGCACACAAAAACACACACAGAAACACAGAGGCTCCATCTCCTCTGTTCCTTATCTCAGTGAAGACTATCACCTTTCACCCAGTTGCCCAAAACTTGTATTTCAGCCTTAACTACTCCCATTCCCTCACTCTCCACCAACATATACAGACCCACAGTGTTAAATATGTTTTAGATACATACTTGGAAATGTCCATATTCTTTATATACTTATTTATCTACAAAGCCAAGTTCTATTCCATTTCATTTCAAAGTTATATTTCAACATAAAGTTCATGTGACACTGGCTAATTAGCCAGGCTAACTGATACCTTTATTATTAAACAAATCCAAGGATTCTTTGATCTATCATTCTTTTTGGAAGCCCAGCACCTTTAAACATTTAATTAGGAAGATATCATTTCTATTTTCAAGCAAGCTTGTAGATTCTTAGACTATCTTAAAGATTAACCACCAAGTGTAAATATAGCTGCATCCACACCTGAACAGAGTGGCTAGGTATTAAAATGCCCTTGATAAGAATTGGCAGTTTTGGGAATAGACAGGAAGGTGTCCTATGAACTGAAAATGATTTTATGAGATTACTTAAAAGCTAGTGCTTTCCTTTCCAATCACTGCACTGTAAAGAAGTCTAATATGGGTACAGCCACTGTGGAAAACAGTGGTTCCTCAAAAAACTAAAAATAAAACTACCATATGATCCAGCAATCCCACTCCTGGGTATATATCCAAAGAAAAGGAAAACACTAATTTGAAAAGATACATGCTCCCCAATGTTTATAGTAGCACTATTTACAATAGCCAAGATATGGAAGCAACCCAAGTGTCCATCAACAGATGAATGGCTAAAGAAGATGTCACACACACACACACACACACACACACACACACACACACACACACACAATGGAATACTACTTGGCCATAAAAAAGAATGAAATTTTGCCATTTGCAACAACATGGATGGACCTAGAGGGTATTATGCTTAGTGAAATAGTCAAACAGAGAAAGACAAGTACTGTATGTTATCACTTATATGTGGAATCTGAAAAAAAAAACGACAAACAAAAGCAAATGAATGAATATAACAAAACAGAAACAGACTCACAGATATAGAGAATCAACTAGTAGTTACCAGCAGGGAAAGGGAAGGGGGTAGGAGCAAAATAGGGGTAGGGGAGTAAGAGGCGCAAACTACTATGAATAAAATAAATAAGCTACAAGGATATATTGTACAGCACAGGAATATACCCGATATTTTATAACTTTAAATGGAATATAATCTATAAAAATTTTGAATCACTATGTTGTACACCTAAAACTAATACAATATTGTAATTCAACTATACCTCAACTTAAAAAAAAGTCTAATATGAATGAGGATGTGATAGATCTTTTAGTGTGGTTATTTGTATTTATTATGGTTCTAAGAAGAAAGATTAAGTTGTATCGTGGGAAAACTCTAAGAATGAAATTCAATGTCTTTTATAAAGCTTTGAAATAGTTTACTAGTGATCTGTCAGTCTTGAAATTCAAACATCAACATCATTAATGCTTAGTCTACAATAACTGTAACTTATTTTCTAAGACTATATATTATGTGACTCAAAGGCACACTTAAGACTTATGTTCTGGATATCTATCCACTGTCTTAATTCTGTTTCTCAATCATCACAAACTTATTTCCTATAGAGAGCATTCACTGCAATGCAGTCAAGTAACAGAAAATTTCTAAGTCTAGAAATATAGCAACTTCAGAAACAAAGTTGATGAAAATAAATTCCCAGTAATTAGGCATGTTCACACTGTAGTACTAATTTTCAATTCTTAATTATGAGAAGCTTTTAGGAACTGGCTGTAAAGGTGAAATATTCAAGTTGGTCTTGAATAAAGAGACACTGCTAATGTTTTGTTTATTTGACCCTAAGAATTTAGCCTGATAACAGCTGGCATTAGAAAATCTATTAACATACATAATCATAACAAGTAAAAAAGGAAAATCCACATGACCATCTCACAGGATGGCAAAATAGCATTTAATGAAATAAATCAAATTCTAATTTAAAAACACTTTTTTTTTTTGGCTGCACCATGCAGCATGCGGGATCTCAGTTCCCCAGCCAGGGATTGAACCCGCGCCCCCTGAACTGGAAGCATGGGTTCTTAATCACTGGACCACCACGGAAGTCCCTAAAAACACTTTTAAAGGACATTGGGGGCTTCCCTGGTGGCGCAGTGGCTGAGAGTCCGCCTGCCGATGCAGGGGACACGGGTTCGTGCCCCGGTCCGGGAAGATCCCACGTGCCGCGGAGCGGCTGGTCCCGTGAGCCATGGCCGCTGAGCCTGCGCGTCCGGAGCCTGTTCTCCGCAACGGGAGAGGCCACAGCAGTGAGAGGCCCGCGTACCGCAAAAAAAAAAAAAAAACAATAAAGGACATTCGTCTAGGTAGTGAAATAAACAGACAAAACATAAACCCAGATGAGAATAACAGATTATCAATATGCAATGATAATATTTTGACTTGGTCTTAAATATTGGGAGATTGAAAATATTTGTAAAGGAGTCTGTTTTACAAATTTAACCAGATATGAATAATGAATGATCACATCAATTAAATTTTGTCATTTTCTAAAATTTATTCTTAAATATAGTAGAAATGTGTCATTATAAATGCCTAAAACCACAGTTTTTAATGCCCAACCCTAGGTTTTATTTCAGCTATTGAAGAAGCAACATCAAGTGTATTTAAGGCTGTATCACTACAGATTGTGCTGAAAAATCACTTGCAGTGTTGCAACGTCTCACATCTATAATGATCCTACACACAGTGAGTAAGTAGTACAGGCACACATAAATTAGCTGCTGATATAAATGAAACCTCTAAGCCTATGATCTATTTGATCTCATGTAAAGAAATACATTTTTTGGTTCTTCTTCATATTCCTTGTTTGTAAAATGTCTGAATATGGCTGTACTATTTATTCACTTGGCTGAGGATTTTTTCTAAACAGTGCATATTCTTTTTATATAATATAAAAAATGCAGTGGCAACTTTGAGTCTCTAATCTAGCCCACTAGTTTGACGAAGTGCTGGCTTGTATGTCTAGGCTAGACACAAATTATAACTTTTTCCTAGGGTATGTACTGACATAATTAACATTCATCTATGGAAAGAAAACTTGATAAAACAACACACATTTCAAATAACCCCCTCCCTCCCACTCTCGCAATGAGAATCACATTTCATTTGCTATTTTTTTCTGATAACAAAAGTGCTATTATGGAAGATAAGAGAAAACTACAAAAAAATATATAAAATATATAATCATATTGCCCCCAAATAACTACTATTTACATTTTGGCATATATATGTAAGTTTTAAAACTTGGGGATATTCTTTACAACTTTTAAAAACATTTTTCAATTAAAATATCATGAACATTTTCCCCTATTAGTAAATATTCTTCTATACCTTGTTAATGGCTATATAGTGGCTCTTCTCATGGTTATATCATAATTTAACAATCTCCCAGGACTTCCCTGGTGGCCCAGTGGTAAAGAATCTGCCTTCCAATGCAGGGGATGCGGGTTCGAGATCCCTAGTCAAAGAAGCAACTAAGCCCACGTGTCACAACTACTGAGCTCGTGGGCCTCAACTAGAGAGCCACAACTAAAGAGAAAACCCGCATGCCACAACTAGAGAGGAGCCCGCACGTCACAGCAAAGAGCCCACGCATTGCAACGAAAGATCCCGTGTGCCGCAACTAAGATCCAACACAGCCAAATAAATATTAAAAACAAAACAACAGGGGCTTCCCTGGTGGCGCAGTGGTTGAGAGTCCGCCTGCCGATGCAGGGGACACGGGTTCGTGCCCTGGTCCGGGAAGATCCCACATGCCGTGGAGCGGCTGGGCCCGTGAGCCATGGCCGCTGAGCCTGCGCATCCGAAGCCTGTGCTCCGCAACGGGAGAGGACACAACAGTGAGAGGCCCGCGTACCGCAAAAAAAAAAAAAAAAAAAAAAAAAAAGTTGGTACCTACCCACTTACCTTTAGAGAATATACATTCTACTCAAGCACACATGAAACACTGTAAAAATTGATCATAAACTAGGCCATAAGGCAATTATAAACAACAAAAAACAGTAAAGACTTGAAAGAGGTATGGAAGTTCATATACAGGTATCCTTGCTATCTGCCACTTGGTTTTCATGAAAGACCTACATTAAGACCTACATTAGCACCTGTTTTCGCTAACAGAAAGAAATCTGAAAAGCATTTTCACTTTCATGAAGAAAAACAAAAATCAAAAAAACCATTCAGCACTTGTTTTGCAAAGAGTCATTACAGAGGCAGCACATACCCAGGGCTGCTAGAGTGGCACTGCCAAACTTCTTCCCCAGGAACTTCACTAAGCATCAAGCTTCCATAACTTTGAACTGTGTCTGTGAGCATCTGTGCTTTATCTCGATTTATTTTGTGCATCCATTAGCAAGATGTGTCCTAAAGTAATTGCTTCTTTCCACCATACGGCTTTGGAAAGGTTTCATAGGAACACCCTACTTTCAGATAGCGGAGGAAACCTGTAGTACTCAAATTTTCTCTAGCTCACCTCCTTCAGTCTTCCTCAATCACCCCAGTGCACACTGATTTTTTCCCCTCCTCTAGCACTGTTATCACTGAGTGCAGTCTTCAAAGTGACACTTAAGAGTGGCTTCTTTTCATATTACTCATTGTATATGTGAGTAATAATCACTATTTTATACATGTACATATTAATCTCCCCCAAAGAAACCACACACTTTGAAGTAAGAATTGTATCTAAGTCAGTTTGTTTTGCTCTTACAAATAAATGAGCACAAAGCAGCCATGACGAAGTAGATAAATGAATGAGCAACATGTTAGGGAGAGAAGAGACCTAACCTAAAGAAGGGCACCAGGCAAGAAAGTGCGTTCCTTTCAGAGTCCTTCATTTCATAGATTAGGCCCAGCCCTCAAGGTGTGCACAATTCAGGCTCAGTCCCTGGATGAGAAGACTTGTCCACTGACAACATGTACAGCATAGGCAATGGGCCTAAAGACAAATCTGGCTCCACCATTTCATAGCTTGGTGAACCTGACAGGTCTCTAAACCTCACAGAGCCAGCTGCTACATCTGCAAAATGGAAATAATGTCCACTTCTCACAACTGTTGTGAGTATCAAAAGAAAAAGTCAATGTTGAGTATATCCAGCACATCCATAAATGTGTTTCCTTCTCCTTTTCTTCAAGAGTATGTATACCGGGACCAAGAAAGGAAATATGCATCTCACCTGGGAACTGGTCATCTCTTGTTCCTCAGCAAGGTAAAGGAGTTAAGGAGGCAAAGCTGGAAAAGAAAGGAGCCATGAGACAAGCCTGCCTTGCAGCCCCCAGAGTGGCCAGCCTCACCCGAACCATTCCCTCAACCAGCCTGCCCTACGTTGCCTTCTCCTCTCCACACTACAGACTGTTCACCACCTCAGGTAAGAGATGGGGAACAGTCTATTCTAAGTCCACGGTCTCTCCCTGTTCTCTGAAGGTGTCACCTGACCCAAGCCTTGCTGAGGAACGTCCACAGCCCCAGCAGCTCCAGAACCACTTCCTCCTCCAGACCCTGGTCTTGGCTAGTAGTTTTGGCAGGAAGCCTCATGTCACAGGTTTATCCTCTCAAGATGGGGTCCAGCTGCCTGAGGAGTTGCAGTCTTCTTTCCTACCAGCATGACTTGTTCCTGTGGGCTCAAGAACAGCAAGAGTGCCACAGTCGGAAATCCAGCCGGGCTCAAAGTTACACTAAGCGTCTCCCAGGATACATACGGAGGAACTCCGGCTAGGGACCTCTGGACACCGGGACTGCAAAGCCGGCGGCCAAACACTTGAAGGAGAAACCCGAGACATCAGAGGGCGGAAGCGCCCGCACACACTGCTCTGGGGGAGATACGCGGATGACCCGCCCCGCCGATATGCTGCGACCGCAGCCCCGACCTGGGGGCGCCCACAGCCGGGAGCAACGGGGCACAGGGGGCTAAGCCAAGGCTGGAGTCTGAAGGAGGAGGGGATCCTGGAGCCACGGGGCGGGGGGGAGGGGGGGGTTCCACGAACGCTCCTGTCTGCGGTGAGCAGAGCCGGTGACTGTGCCTGCTTTAGAGAACCTGGTAGGATCTGACCCTCCACAGCCAAATCGCGGGTGACACACTCTTTCGGGGACCATCGCTCCCGGGGCCCCAGACTTGGGGCTTCAAGTCCCTCAATCCCACCCCTACTCTGGCCCTCTGATATCCATCTTCCCTTTAAACCTGAGTGCCCCTCTGAACCCCAGTCTTGCCGGAAGTAGCTCCTGCCGCTGCCAAGAGCCGCCAGACTCACCTGGCTCAAGCCGGGTCCCGGGTCTCTGGTCTCCCGGCCCGGGGCCAAGCCCGCTGGGGCTGTACTGCGCCTGCGCGGAGAGAGCCCGGCGTCTCCCACAAGACCCCGCGGCGCGCCGCCTCGGTCGCTCCCGCCGCTGTCTCCATCGCATGTGCCCGTGGCTGTGGCGTGTGGAGGGTTCTCCTTCAGCCTTGCCAAGGGCTAGAAACGCCACTTTTTAGTTTCAGTTCCTGGGATCCTACAGTGACAGTGCCATGTAGAAGCTTGCGACCTACTACGGAGGTTTGAGTGGGGAGGGGAGGGTGTGCAGGCTGGGTGAGACTGCGCGCTGGGACTTCTCCCCCTCACGCTTGGGAGCCTGGCTTTGTTGTCAAAACCAAGTTCATGTGCCCAATCAATGCCCAGTGAGACCAGGGTTTGGAGCCAAGGGTTTGGAGACCAGGGTTTGGAGCCAAGAAAACAGGGCTGAGCAAGGAGAACAGGGCAACAGGGTGGCTCATGATCAAAAGACCTGCGATCCCTGATGACTTGGAGGAAGAGTGTTTATATGGAAACTTTCGGGGTGGGGGGGGGATGTTTGCAGAGTGTGTGACCTTCCTCTGATTGGTTGGTGGGAGGTGTTCCAGGAATCTCAGTCATCAGCCTTCTGGTTCCAACCAGTTTGGGGTCTATGTGCTTATGCTTGGCATAAAGTTACCATCCTCTACCTGGGTGGAGACCTTAGTTCCTGTAGAACTAAGAGATACAAGCTGCATTATTGTTTCTGTATTCCCTCACTCCCCTTATTAGTAACTGTTTGAATCTGCCCTTTGGAACTCAGGGAAGGTCTAAGAGGCTGCAACCTTTTTCCTACAAACAAAAAATGGGGGACACAGAAAGGCTTTCGTGCTTGGGAGGGCCCCACGGGTCCTGCTCAGTTTCAGTCCCCCCTTTTCTTTGCTACTCCTCAATCATGAGGGGACCCGGGTGTTGGACAAAAAAGGGAATAACATTTTGGATAGAGAGATTAATCATAAACTCAGCAGAGGAACGTGGTTTTAGGGGGACTCAGTTTCAGTTTCTTGGGGTTGGGGGCTGAGAAGGGGAAAGAGAATGGCATCTCTCATTTGGCCAGTGGTCCTTTCCAGAATGTCACCTCATATGCACCTCTGGGCAGGCAGGTGTTCTAAGGCAGGGTGGCGAGGGACCCCTCAGTGCAGCCCGCCCTCCTGCACTGTTCTCGGATGGGGAGGCCTGGCCCAGTGTGACATCTTCCTATCCTCTGCGTCCATCCCCTGCCCCCGGCTAATGTACTCAATATGGTGTCCTCTTGGCGGCCCCTCTGCCCTGCTGTTTCTATACAGGCTTCACTCCTTGCAAGCAGCCCTAATCTACATGGGGGAATCTCTTAGTACCGACTCGTGTCCTTGGGCTCTTTAATTAATAGAAATGGATAAGAGGCCAGATGAGAAAATCAGGCAAGGCTTTATTGAGACTGGTGCTGCAGCATGAGGGAGGGAAAACAAGTGAAAGATTCCCTTGCTCGCTACCGGAGGAAGGGGGTGAGGCTGGGGACAGATGGGGGGCTCGGCAGGAGGGGTGGTGGAGGTAATCTGCCCACCCCCTGGTGGTGCTGAGCGCAGGGGGGATGCGCAGTGCCCTGCTTTTGCTCCCGGCACCTCAGGAGTGGCAGTTGATTTTTGGCCTTTTTGTATCTTACTGTTCATAATTTGCCCCAACTGCGCATGCATGCAGTTATTTTTAGTACCTTACAGTTTCTTTGTACTTTGTTGCTCAAGGAGACGTTTGTCCAGGTGCAAGCACTCCAGTAAAGTGTCCTGGGTCCCAGGTCCCAGGTCCCAGGTCCCAGCCTATCTCGCTCGCTTGATTTTTTTTTTTGCGGTACGCGGGCCTCTCACTGTTGTGGCCTCTCCCGTTGTGGAGCACAGGCTCCGGACGCACAGGCTCAGCGGCCATGGCTCATGGGCCCAGCCACCCCGCGGCATGTGGGATCTTCCCAGACCGGGGTACGAACCCTTGTCCCCTGCATCGGCAGGCGGACTCTCAACTGCGCCACCAGGGAAGCCCTCACTTGATTTTTGTAGAGAAATGCCAGGGCAGTCTCTGTCAGGGCTGACTCATGACTCTGCTGACTCCCATCCCCACCCTCTGACCAATCTTCTTGTTACATGAGGTTGTAGTGGTTATGGTGCAGGTCTGAGAAGATGGTTGAGGATGGAAAAGTCGGTTTGGTCACCCTTTAACAAGTCCTGGAAGCAGAGAAGTTGTCTGACCCCCAATTATTTGTGCCTGTTTTTACAATGTGGGGTACTTGATGCCTCACCTGTAAATCCTAGTTTCTATCCTAGGCTAAAGGGCAAATCCCACTTAACATGTTAGAGTTACATAACATCCTGCACATGGTTGTATCAAAAATTTAAACTAGGGCTTCCCTCGTGGCGCGGTGGTTGGGAGTCTGCCTGCCGATGCAGGGGACACGGGTTCGTGCCCAGGTCCGGGAGGATCCCACATGCCGCGGAGCGGCTGGGCCCGTGAGCCATGGCCGCTGAGCCTGCGCATCTGGAGCCTGTGCAACGGGAGAGGCCACAACAGTGAGAGGCCCGCGTACCGCAAAAAAAAAGAAAAAAAAAAATTTAAACTATTCTCCCATTGTTGAACCTGTAGCTATGGTAGTCAAGCCCTATTCACAAATATTCTGGGTTCCCTCTTCTTTCCAGTACATGGTAGGATTGCAATTTCCCATCCCTTGGAAGTTAGTGGTGACAATGTAACTTGTTTGGCTGCAAAATACGAGTAGAAGTAATGTGTGCCACCTCCAAAAGGAATCTCTTAAGAGCCAGCGCACAAATTGTCATGTTTCTTTTCCCTCTGCCCCAGAAATTGTAACGTTCACTGTGGCAAGCAGCCTCTAAAATGGCCCCCAATGATCCCCTTCTCCTGGTATTCAAGCCCTCGTAATCCCCTCTCCTTGAATGTGCACTGAACCTGGTGACTTGCTTCTAATGAATAGAATATGACAAAAGTGATGGGATATCACTTCCAAGATTAGGTTACAAAAAGACTCTGGCTTCCATCACGCTTGGCCTCTTTACCCTCCACTGCTCCCTTAATCACTTTAAGAGCAGCCAGCTGCTTTGCTGTGAGATGTCCATGTGGTGCCTGGAGATGGCTGTGTGGTAAAGAGCTGATGTATCCTGCCTGGTAGGACCTGAGGCCTGCCAGCAGCCACATGAGTTAAGTTTGGAAATGGATTTTCTGAGGCCTGCCAATCATCACATAAGTGAACTTGGAAGCACGTCCTTCCCCTGTTGAGGCTTGAGATGACTGTAGCCCCAGCAGACACCTTGACTGCAGTCTTTTTTTGTGTGTTTAATGAAGTTTATTTATTTATCTAGGCCATGCAGCATGGCTTACAGGATTTTAGTTCCCCAATCAGAGATTGAACCCGAGCCCTCGGCGGTGAAAGCGTAGAGTCCTAACCACTGGACTGCCAGGGAATTCCCGATTGCAGTCTTAAAGGCCAGAGGATCCAATAAAGCTACGCCCAGTTTCCTGACCCACAGAAATTGCGACAAAATAAATGTTTCTTGTTTTAAGCCACTAAGTTCTGGAGTAATTTGCTATGCAGCAGCGGACAACAAATACATTCAAAATGGCTCCAGAGTGGGGCAACATGGAGCTGAGGCCCCAGCCTATCCAGCCTGGGCAGGTATTATGGCTGAGAAACAAATCTTTGTACTTACAAGCCACTAAGTAGATTGGGGGGTTGGTTTAGTACTACACTAACCTTTGCAAGTGTAAATAACACAGTGATAAACATCTTTGTACTGAAGTCATTTACTAAATTTCTAATCATTTGCTTAGGACAGATTCAGGAATTGCTCATTTAAATGGTATGACAGGGACTTCCCTGGTGGCGCAGTGGTTAAGAATCTGCCTGCCAATGCAGGGGACACGGGTTCGGTCCCTGGTCCAGGAAGATCTCACATGCCGAGGAGCAACGAAGCCCGTGCGCCACGACTACTGAGCCTGTGCTCTAGAGCCCGCGAGCCACAACTACTGAGCCTGCATGCCACAACTACTGAAGCCTGCACACCTAGAGCCCATGCTCCGCAACAAGAGAAGCCACCACAATGAGAAGCCCGTGCACCACAACGAAGAGTAGCTCCCGCTCACCACAACTAGAGAAAGCCCGCGCGCAGCAACGAAGACCCAAGGCAGCCAAAAATAATAAATAAATAAATTTATTAAGTAAATGAAAAAATAAGTAAATGGTATGACATTTTAAGACTTTTAATGTACATTACCAACTAATGGTCCAAAAAGTTATGTTGATTTACATTTCCACCACTGAGGGGTAGTTTGATTCACCAAACCCTGACCAGTTTATTTACCTTTCAGTCATAACTTATGTGTCAATGAAAAAAACCTGTTCATTACCTCCGCCAAATTATCTTTTAAATATAATAGTTTCTAGCTCCCGGTACCACAGTCTTGGTTCAGGCCTTCATCATTCCTTATGTGGCCTACTGCAGTATTCTACTCAATGGCCTTGCTTTCTGCAATCAATGTGCCTCTCAGCTTGCCTAAGTTATCCTTCAAAAAATAGTAACCTGGTCATTAGTCTCCTTAAACTACTTCAATGCCAGCCCGTGTATTAGTTATCATAGACTAAACCGCTGTAACAAATAGATCTTACAATGCACTGGCTCAGGAAAATAGAAGTCTATCTCTTCCTCATTTCACAGTCTGGGTAGCTGGTCCATGTTGGTGGGTAGCTCTTTTCTGTGTGGTCAGTCAGCGACTGTCTTAGTCCATTCTGGCTGCTATAAAAAAATACCACAGACTAGGAGGCTTATAAACAAGAGAAATTTATTTCTCACAGTTCTGGGGGCTGGAAGTCTGAGATCAGGATGCCAGCATGGTCGGGTGAGGGCCCTCTTCAGGGTGGCAGACTCCTCCTTACATGGTGGAAGGGGCTAGTAAGCTCTGTGGGGCCTCCTTTTCTTTTTAAGGAAACATAAATAAGTGCACTGACATACCATATTCACAATGGAAA